TCTCCCCTCAGCCTCCTCTTCTCCAGGCTGAACCCCCCCAGACAGTGACCCAATCCTGGTGGCACCCCGCGGGTGTGCAGCCCCTGCCCGCGCCGGTCGGTGCGAAGCGCTAACTGCTGGCAGCCCGCCCGATGCACGCGGTACCCGAGCGGGTGCTGGCGAGGCAGGTGCCGCGTGGGGCTGGTAGCCTCACCGAGGGCATTCCCGGCCTGAAGCACGCTTGCTTATGGCCTTTGGAGATCCTGAGGTTTCCAGTTTGGAAGTCAAGACCCGCGAGCGGCCCGTGGCGGCGGCGGATCTGTAGCTTGCGTTAGAAACTTTAAAACCATTGCCCATGTGTGTGGGTAGGTGAAGCGTCTGCAAACAACACCCGGCAGGTTGGAAAAGTAAAACTCTTTAGGTGCTTGGTGCAGCTTCGTTCAGGAAGAATGAAATAGTTAAATTCTTGTTTTCATTCTTTACAGGCTGGTTTATAAATGGTTTCTACTAATATACAAGATCAGCTATGCCACTGGAATCGTAGGGTACATGGCTGTGATGTTCACACTTTTTGGTCTTAACTTATTATTCAGGTGAGTGAATCTTTCGTGTCCCGCTCCTGGGGCGGGGGACGTAACACGCTGTGTGGAATAAGGCCTTGGCTGCGACTCTGGAAAAAGAGTTCTCTTGGCAACCTGATTAACGGGGCCAAAGAGGCTTTTGGGGTGTCCTCTCCCTGCTGGGAGGATCACGGGTGAGATGCTGGTACCCGAACTGGTCAAGGTCGCTGGTACCTGAGCTGGTCAAGGTCACTGGCGAGCCCTGCTGCCAGCTCAGCTGTGTCAGCAGCTCCTCCAGCTCTGCGCGTGTCCGGCCTGGGGCCAGCGGTGGGATTTTCTTTCCTACACTGATAAAGCGGTACCTGCGACAAAGCAGCCAGCCCAGGTGCGGTAGCGGAGGACCTTAGCTCGAGCCATCTTCGTGTTTAGAGAGGTTGATTCCTTCTCTGGAATATGAGCAGACCTGGCGACTGCCTGCAGAGGGGTGGAAGGGTTTACTGGGAGCTGTTCTGGTGCACGAGCGAGTTGCAACTGCGGTTGCTCATGCCAGGGGCTGGGGAGGGCGATGGGCACCGGGTATTAGCCAGCCGGGGCGTTACACCCACGTCTCCGTTCCAGTTGTGCTTGTTGGCAGACACCTAGAAGACCTTGGCGGGCGACGCTTGCCGGTGACGTGTGTCCGCTGCCTTGGCGGACCGCTCTTGCGACGGAGTTAGTGCTGCGGGCTCTGTCAGCAGGCTGGCTTTGCACCCCTGCAGCCTCCCTAAAAAAGAAAAAAAGCTCTTGATATCATTTGGGCTCCTCTGTTGCAGAATCAAACCAGAAGACGCGATGGACTTTGGCATCTCCCTCCTCTTCTACGGACTTTACTACGGGGTGCTGGAGCGGGACTTTGCCGAGATGTGTGCGGATTACATGGCCTCGACGATCGGGGTGAGTTAACGCCGTGCTGTCCCCACGGCGAGAGTCCTGCCCCGTTACGGAGGGGCCTGGAGCGTGGCGGTCGCAGCAGGAGCTTTTGCTTCCCCCAGATGGGAAAAGGCATCGAACTCCCCCCGCCCCGTGAGGAAGGGCTCCCTGAGGCTGCTGCTTTTCTCGCTGCGCTATCTCTGGGCCCAGCACCGTGGTGTCTGGGAAGTTTCTGATGTAACAGACTTGCTCCGAGATCCTTAAGAGCAGAGCCTCTGCGGGTGCCCCCTCATCCCCAGAAGCGCAAAAATTGAGGAGTGGAAGGATGTGCTCAGCCCCCCACTAAACTCCTGACAAATATTTCTCTACTTGGGCCTTTAAAATCTCCAGCGCTCCCGTTTCTGGGACTGTGCTGCGGGTGCGTTAACCCGTGACCGGCAGCC